AATGTCACATACTTTAAAGCGAGGGAGTCGTCACCTGCGCATGCGTCAGATGGCCATAGCGTGTCATTGTTTAACAAACGAGCGTCAATCCATGAGCCTTTGCGTTTTTAGCATGTGTTGTTATCGTCGCTTAGGACTCAATTTCCGCACGTGCACAGGTGACACCCTCCCGCTTTAAATGAAGAAGGAGATACCAAAATGAAACAGAAAAAAGATGAAAGACTGAATTCATCACATATACATTAAACCAGAATTTCTATAGGCGGAGATTTCAATCTTTTGATAGGAGCTCATCAGTATGGCAATCCACAGTAAGACTTCAAGATGATACAACCCTTGCCACGGGCGCACAGGGCCAATCACAAAAACTAACAGAAATTTTATCCCAATCAATCATTGTAGAAGATGTATATCAAGCTATTACTTTTCCAGCTTCTCATGTCAAATTACACATTTATCTTACGTACAATAGGGTTTTTCCATTAGAAAAACAAATAAAGGCTGAGTCAACAGAATTTGCTGATATTGTCTGCCATTGCTTAATTTCAACAACGTAAATAAATAAAGTCTTTACCTCAGTTAAATCTGAATCTCTATTTTACAAGTTTTAGAATTCTTAACGCATGTCAAATTCATTGACGGTATTTCACACTTGTTAAATATGAAGCAAAACTGAAAATTGGAAATTATAAATACTAGCAGCAGTACAGTTGTTGACTCCCAATAGTTAATATATAATGAATACTTACACATTGACATGCAATATTCAACTCCATCGTTTCAAACCCTCTCACGCAATGTAACCTAATACGAACGCTTTCAAAGACTTGTTTTCCATGTAAAGACGGTCTAAGAGCCACAAAATTGTGCAGTAGCTATTGCAAAAAGGTCATTTAGACGTGCAATCCTGACGCCAGGAGTCATCATAGCATGAGAGAATCCGATATCTATTCAAGTCGCTGAAAGAAAGCATGGTCTGACTTGAAAACCTCCCCCTGGTTCAGTCGTCGCATTTTTGGGTCTCATCGTAATATAGTTACTCAACAAATTTCATGGACTTTTGATTTTATTGTTGAACGGTTTACATACAAGACCAGCTTTCCGTTATATGTACACACAAGGTAATGACTGAAGTTACTAATATTACAAATCCTCTATCTGGACATAACAGAGGAAAAGACGTATACAAAAAAACAAAAAGACAGTAGCCATGTGAGTATATGTGAGTTGACTTACATCATTGCTACTTTGAAGAAAATTATTTTTGGATTCTTGTCAAGATAAATATACCAGTAAAGTAAATATAATAGAGAAAAAAGTTTAAAATCCGTTGCCATGCCAATCCTTTCCCTTTTCCTTTTCATTAAAAAATGAAGTTGAACATCTGATAGGAAACCATGATAAGAAATGAAAAATATCTTGCAATATGGATATGATGAGTGTGTCCTTGACAACAGCAATATTAACAAGCCAGAAATATCATTTTTAATAAGACAGCAGACATTAATGAGAAGGTAGCTGCTGTTATGCAATGCAGGCAGACACAGTAGATATTGTATTCAAAATTAATTAAAATACCCTTTATGAAAATCAACCCATGCATGCTTAAATCATAATTGAGTATCTGGAGTGGACCCAACACTGAAGAGAACTTGCCAAATTTTATTTGACTGCTTCTAGTTCAATCAATATTCTATTTTAATATACATCTTCTCACTAGATCTAACACAAACTGTCAAATCAATATCAGCAGGGACAACTCAAAATTGGCTGAATACACAAACACACCGTATTTACTCTATTAGTACAGTTTCATCATTTTACTTTCGATGACATCTGCTAGATTTTACCAGATTATCAATTTGCTTGTTTTCAAAAATTGTTAAGACGTAATGAGAAGATAACAAATCAAGAAATTAGTTACAAGGACATTCAGTTCAATTTCCCCGGAGTTACTTTCAATTATTTCTATATTTATAATTTTTTTTATTCAAGGTTTAGCATGTTGTAAAAGAAAGATTCAAGTTCAAGTGACTCCACATGGATTTGAATTGACACTGATCAAAGAAATTAGTGGAATTAAATCAGTGTGAGCTGTGTTAACAGTTTGACCTTAAAATCTTTTCTAAATTAATTCACTCCATTCAATGGAATAGTACACATGCATTGATGTAAATGCTGCAATCCGTGTGACATGTTAGCTATGAACTCCCAACATCAATATACATTTTGAAATTTGAAATTTCACTTTACAAATGACAGCTCATGTCCGCATACAAACATGAATAATATACACACCAGTCAATTGCTAACCTCAAGTCAGTTCTAAAAGGGAAAGCACTCCATTTAGAATTTACTGCCTACTACCTTGCAGGTTTAAAGGTAACAGCACTCCACTTAAAATGTACTGCCAAATGCCGTGTGAAACACAACGCAGAGATTCAGAATACAACCATTAGATTGTGTAACGAATATTACCAGCATACTATGATACACTATACCAATCAGGAGAAAACAGAAACCGTTTTTTCTAGTCACTGTACCAGTACAACCATGGCGACATTCACTAGGGAAATTATTTAATTTCAGATTAACAAAGCTTTAATAAGTAAAATATGTACACACAAGGCAATTTATAGATGCGCTGTGCTTGTTCAAAAGAACAAGCTGCAAACCCGAAGTAAAGCTATTAAATAGATAGCATCAAATTACGTATGACGAAAGCTGTTGCAATGACCGACTGAGATCAATATTGTTGACGGGAAGCGTATAGCGAATAAAGCATCAAACTGACCCTATCCTCTAAAAGTTGTAAAGGATACAAAGGTAGCCATATATTGCCATGGCAACTGCTTTTTTATGATAACAAGAGAGGAAATGAGATTGATCATCTGAAAATGACAGATGGTTTGGAAAATTGCATGGAAAATAAACCTATCTAAGATTTTATCATCGGCCTAATT